CCGATACGCTCTCGCCTGTCTCCGACCTTTCAGACATTTCAACATCTTTTTCTGAATCCCACATTGTAGCATGGCATAGACAATTCACGTTAGCAGTTTGAAGAACACCTGCTTGCTTCTGATGATTTCCTTTAGCTAACCAATGAGTGTTTGCGTTCTATGACTCATCCAATCACACTAGTTTTCACTATATGGATGGAGCCAATGATCTGCATTGGATGGAGCACATGACGGGAAATAAATATTTAGAAACATTATACCAGAGGTAACCAATTAAAAATCAGTGGGGTCCGAATAAAGAAAATCATCATCCAGTAAAGGTCTGGAGACATTTTTAATGATATGTTACTTTAAACAGAATTTAACACTGAAATAAAAATGAGGTATTTATGCATTCATGTTATATAAACATAGAATTGTCAAATAAAAAAAAATATATATATATATATATAAAAAAAAGAAACTTTTTCCATTTTAAAATCTAAATAGAGAACAATTGTTCAGTTTGGTATATAGACAATTTCCTGATTCCCATATTTTATAAAACACCTGAACTGAGTGTTTGTTATTTTCTTTCTTTTTTCTGTCTTAATGTTGGCAGTGGGCATTAGGCTGCCCTGCAAGGCTTTAAACCTGGGTTTGAATGGAGACTAAGCCATTCTCAAGCACATATCAAATCAAGGGCGTAGGTTTGATTTCGACTTTAGTAGGGACACTATTGGTCTTCAGTTTCATTGGTCTGATGTCATTGGTCCTTTGCAAAAATATTCATGCTCTTTTTTATGCTTAATGTGAGCATCAGGGTATGTTTAAAGAGAACAGCAGCATTTATTGCTACATTAATACAAATCTTATAAGCACTACACTCACTAGATGCTGTTTATCAATGTTTAAAGCATCACTGGCTCTGATGAATGTGGAATTAGGACTTTTTCCACTTTGAAAATGTTTGCATTTAAACTTACTAGCGACTAAGACAGAAGGTAAATATGTGCCTATTTAACCAAATATAGTCTAAATATGTGTGCTATATGTGGATTTATCCTGTGTTTTCTTTTTGAAGATATAGAATTGTGCAGAGGTAACACCCACTCTTATTTTTTTAATCTAATATGATCTCTCTGTATCTTGCAAAATAATACATTCAAGGGACACAAATGAATGTATTGTATTTACATGAGCACTGGAACTATAAGAGGAACTGACACTGAGCATTTAGAATATTAACTTCACTATACAAGTTGTATATCTGACTGTAGTTACTCTGTATCACCCATTTCATGTATTTAATCTAGGGCTGAAACAATTAATCATATTAATCGATTATTTAAATAATCATCAACTGATTTAGTAATTGATTAATTATTAACTGGTGTATAGGGCCACTAAAATGTACCTTTAGCCAACAGAGCGACCCACTTAGAGCAGGAATTATACCTAAAAAATATGTAAACATTTTGTATTTAAGATAAAAAAAGTTTGTCTGTCAATATTCTGCATCCAGAACTCCTCAAGAGGAAACATTTCTGTTTCACCTGGTTTCATTTCATACAAAATCTTCTTTAAGGAACATTTGGCTGATCTGATTATTAATCGATTCATCAAAAAAATAATCAACAGATTAACACTTTGCAGAATAATCATTAGTCGCAGCCCTAATCCTTCTCATCCTTCTCATGTTACGTTCTGCAAAAGAAATAACGCCTGTTACTTTTACCTCTCATAAAATAACAGTAATAGCAAAGATATACTGTTAAAGGGAATCAGAAATTTTAATAGTTTACAGTCTTTGTTCATTTTAACAGCAGTTTTCTGAACTCTTGTCTGACTCAGAATATTTAGTTTTTGAAAATAAATCCCAATGTTGGTTACTTTCATTTCTCAAGTTCTACAAATCCAAACTCTCTCCTGCTTCTTTACAGAACTGCAATCAGAACAATTCGCCTGTTTTAGCCTAGATAATATTTAGTTTTTTAATGGGCTCTATGCACAGCTCCACTACTTCCTGAATTTAAGGCAGCTCCTTTTGTTTCCTGTCTTTCATTACTGGACGAACTGATTAATCCAGGTGTGTCTGGCCAGTTACTTAGGTCATACACACCTGGATTAATCAGTGCATCCAATCATGAAAGACAGGAAACAAAGGAGCTGCATTAAATTCAGGAAGTAGTGGAGCTGTGCATAGAGCTTATTGGGACTAGTTTTGTCGCCTAATATCAATTTTGGTAACCGTCGTATTCTAGCGTTATTTTTTTTTTCCCGCGCTCCAAGCACGCACACGCGCACATCCAGACTAGAAAACAAGCAATCTGAAAATGAGGTGGAAGTTAAGGCAGAAATATCAGAGAGTTAAACAGTGCAGCAAAATTCCATGTGCCGCTATGTGAAAGGAAAGAGCAGGCAGCTGCAGCTACCAGGCAGAGGAGCTGCGGGAGGAAAAGAAGCCACTGCTTCAACAACTACTGCTGTAAATTATAACATGTTGTTCACTTGGAATTATTGGTAGGGACAAGTCGGTTGATCCAAAATGTTTGTAGGGACATGTCCCTATGGTCCCTATGCAAGCCTACGCCCATGTATCAAGATGCTCATTTTGAGCCTGGATCCATATTTGTTGATTCTGTTCATGGTGGAGAATCCTGCTTCACAGCAGCAGGTTGAGCCAAACATCCTCTAAATGTTCAGGCTCTGCTCTGGTCCGGCCAGGTCAAGATCCACTATTGCAATCACACCAAACAGGAGAAAGAACGGCAAGGAGTTCCGGTTTGACAAATTAAACTATTGTAACAACAGATCGGTAACTACACATTAGAGCATAATTCTATTCATTTAAAAAAACTAACACCGTTTAATTAAAAGATTGGATGCAAATTATTGGTACTTCAACAGACCAGAAAGCAGATTTCTCATCTCCATCAGAAACCGCACATCTGCTGGATGCTGATGGGGATTTTTTTAATATGTCATATTAAATTAAGCGTTCATTTCTGCATGTTTTTGCTCTGACGAATTTAATGATAATACCGCGCATGCTCTGCCTGAATTCCGAGGATAAGTCGGAGGGCAGCAATACGGGAGGAACCGCAGAGGCTGTAGGCTTTGCTTTGAGCAGGAGGTCTGGATGCTGCGGGGCAGAGGATGAAGCCAAGAATAACAAGTAACGTTTGTTTTAAAAATTTAAGAAATAGAAAGTACAGATACTTGTGTGAAAACGTAATCAGTAGAAGTCAGAAGTAGGAGGAAAAATACATAATGGAGTAAAGTATAGATACCTAAAAAGTGTAATTAAGTACAGTAATGAAGTATTTGTACTTGTTACTTGACACCTCTGCTACCCTCCTTATTCTGCCCTGATTGTACAGGATACCGCAAGGTCCTTAAAGTTACTTAAAAAATAAAAATAATGAAAAAGGAGGAAAATATGAAAACTGGTGTTGTGGCCCAGCTTTGATGGCTCAAAAAAGTGAAAATCCACAAAGGCCACAGTTGCACCATGGACTTATTTTACGCAGGCAAAAGAAAAAATGTTCCAAGTAAACTCCTTTAGTTTTGTCAGTTTATTTTTTCCTCAGGCAAGCAAACAAAAAGACAAACATTTCCTCCATGTTTCTCTTGTGCTGGTTAACAAACCATACGCCCACCCAGATGCATGCTGCTCATTGACTGCCTATTTATAAAAAATGATTAACCTACATTAATCGTAACTAACCAAAAAATAAACGAATATGACTAAATAACCAAAAAAACAATATCATAACAGATATTAAACAATAAAGTAAAATAAACTTGGCTAGATTATGTACAAAAAACATTTTTTATCATTAACAAAAAATAATTGTCTACTACAAGCTAGATTAGTAAATGAAAAATAATTCAGAACAGCTCTGGAAAAAATGTAGAGGAGAAGATAGTCTATACTGAACACAAGAATAAATTGATTCCCGCCCCGAGTACTACTATTACCATCCATCCATCTTCTCCCTCTAACAGGGTCATGGTGGGCCGTTGCCCATGTTATGGAAAGCTCTGTGGTTCTACCTTGAAGCTTTATCTCAGTTTCTTTTCCTGAGAAGAGATCACTAGAGACAGAGTCTTTAAATAACACAATACAATAATCAATACACAATACATAATGTATATATATTAAATAACCAGGAGACATGACAACTGATCTTGACAGAAGTTGTAATCTTACTCAGACCAGAGAAGTTTCTTGGAGTTACATAAGGCAACACTTACCAAACGGGCTCATATCTTGTTGAAGTGGCCATAATTCAGTTTGTAAAATTCAGCTTGATTAAAAGCACAACTTACAATATACTCAAGTGTATACTCAATATGTTACATTATACATTTGACATTAGAGTAAAATATCCAACCACTTAGTAAGAATTGTGTTGATGTTTAGCAACAATGATTTATAAAAAAAAAAAAAAAAAAAACTCACACCACCGAGAATCAATTTTTCATTTAATATTAATTCAGTTTAGAGAGATCAATAACCAAAATCCTTCATAACACATTTGTAATTTAAGTTAAATGCTCAATTTATATCTGGAAAAAAACACTAATAACTGAAAGTCCAATTTTGCCCGTTCTTTTTATTTTCGATAATGATGTCCACAAAGGAGTTCCATAACCTCCAAACTCAAAACAAAGTCCTGAAAGTGTTTAAAAGGGAACACCAGTTTTTTTTACATTGGGTCCTTGATTTTCTGTTATTCCATCATGTTCTACTCACCCATATGAGTTTAGTGTCATTTGGAGCCGTTCTGAAGATATTCCGTTAGGTTATATCCAAGTAACATCTTCCTATGGGCAACGACTTGAAGGCACAGACTAAACTGTTCATCATTTATTCTTTATGGTACGCCAGCATTCAGAACATGTAGGCCAATCACTGCCTTCAGACATCCACCGTTATATTTTTTATATCCATATTTTTTTTAAAACAAAGCGAAGTGTGTATGATGTAATCCGTGCGCGCCAGACTGAGGTTGTGACAGGAAGCCCGAGCCACAGGCGGCTACGCTCTACCCCTTCTATTCATTCTAGCTAATCTGAATCGTTCCATTTGGAGAGTGAGATCATCTGTGGTAGCAGCTCTAGACTTCTTCCAGGCATGTGAGGAAAACTAGCAGCAGTTCAACGGACAGGATGAAGGAACGGTAGCCGGCGCGCGCGGATGACGTCATACACACAAGACCGGACGGGACATTCGAACCGAGCCATCAGCTCCAGGGCTTGTCGGGTCCGGAGACAGCCAGGGAAGGAGCGACTGATCCTGATCCCGTGCGGGTATGCTGGTGGGGGTGAAACACGATAAGGCAGGTGGGGAGAAGCATGGGGCCAGCTGTGTCCAGGCTACCTTCACCGGGTCGGATTCAGTTGCACCGTCCCCCGCTGGCTCCCTCCGTAGTTCCCGGACCAGCCCCTGAGCTCATGGCTCGGTTCTGCTGCACTGTACTCGACCAAAAGATCCCAGATGATTTCAAAATTTCCCCCAGACATTTTTTTGGTATGAAAAGTAGGACATGTCAGGGAAAAAGAAGACATCTGGTCACCATACTAAAATTACTTTTTATGTTACAAACTTAGATGCTAAATGCTAACACCAATAAGAAGGGACACATTTCTGCACTTAGATTTAATTTTTATAGCTTAAATAGGCATATAGGTGTAAAATCAGTGAAACTGTAACCATTCCTGTTTCTACATTTAAACATAGTACTTTTCTTTTTTCTCCTTCAAGTTAAAAATGCAATCAAAATCAGTCACTAAAATCTGATCACTTTTGTTTTTCAGATACGAAGTGAACGTTTTGTTCCAGTTTTCATCATCAACCTTCTAATCTCAGACGTCCTTCAGGTCACCTGCATGGCTGTAAACCTTACATTTGAAGAGCAGCCCAGGCACATTTATGCTACTTATTATGGTTTTATTGGGGCCAGCCTTTTCTTCATGACCCTCATTGCCCTGGAAAGGTAAATTCTGTATACTATATTTATCTGTTATAGTATTTTATAAGATATTATTTCATATGATAGATTTAATCTTTATAAAAACTGTTCATTTGCTCTGCATAGATGGTTTACATGTGTTTTTCTGTGACAGGTATCTGATGATTGCCCACCCGATGTGGTACAGATTCAACAAAACAACTAAAGTCTCTGTTTTAGTCTCTGTCGTCACCTGGATATTTTCAATATTATTGGGCTTTGCTATTGGTACAAATATTGGATCCAGTTTGCTAATTCCCTTCCCTTTCATGATATTCTCGCTTGTTGGGACCTTCAGAGCTCTGTCTACAGCTCAGGCCGTACCAGCTGCTGAAAAGAGACGGATTGTTGGGGTTTTGGTTGTGGTGGTTTTAATTTATAGTGTGATGTTTTTGCCCATGGTTTTTGGTGTATCATTTCTTTCGTATAAACAATCCCCAAACTATGGTGAGCTGTACAATGCCCTTAATAATCTTTCTTGCATGCTATTTCAGATTAGCCCTCTGACAGACATATTTCTTTACATCTTTTTGAAGAAATGGTTCATAGACAAACTATTAACTTCCCTGTGTTGCTGCATCAAGGACAGTGATGAAGCCCAGCAGACAGTTGATGAAACAGGAAGCTCAACTTCTGAAAGCAAAGACCATGAATGCCCATGAAACTTGGAGGAAAATTCAAGAACCTAAAGAACATACAATCAACCTTCTGTCATTTTTATAATTCTAATAACATAATCCTCCAGAGTGACCTCTAGCCTCTCACCGGTGACCCAGTGCGGCGCGTTTACAACTAATAACACATAATGCTTTAAAATATTTCACCGGTAAAATGTGTACCAGTATAGACATGTTAAACATTGTTGGAAAGCTTAGATTCTGCACAATTAAACTACCAAGTTTAGTTTAAGGACACAGTGAGCACCAAAGCACAATTAACACAGCGCTTTATATAAACTTTAAATAACACAAATAACACAGCAATTAACACAGCACATAGCAGCATGTCAGAATGTAAACATGACAAAGCAGCCACAACTACATCCCTTTGAAGGCATCCAGAAGCCTTTTTATAAATCCAGTCTTCAATTGTTTATATTCCATTCATCCATAACGGTCCACAAATTAAAAGTAATTCAGCATATTCGTAATAGAAATATTTTATGATGAGAAAATCACCCATAACATCCAGTTGTTGACATCAGAAAAGTTACCTGGTCATGGCTATTGCTCCTCATCTTGCTAATATTTACTTCCTAATATTTATTTCCTCAGTTGTTAGCCCGCAATGTTTGGTATGTTTCTTTAGATTGTCTTCTTACCTACAAGACAAAAGTCTGCATGTTTTTATGATGAGATTTGAGCCAGAAATCTAATTTCCAGTCACTTCCTGTCAGCCAGCGATGGACCAAATAGCGCTATATTATGCCTCATAGAGTCCGGCTGTTATTGGTTAAGACAATGTGGGCTGTTGGGCTTTGTAGCCAATGAAATAAGGTTTCAAACAAGCCTACATATGGCAAGTTTATATAAAGGGGAGCTGCATCACTCGCTTGCATAAGAGTCAAGAGTCACACAGCTGCGGCTGGATCAATGCACGCAGCTCAAAGCTGAGTAATTACAGCGGCCCAATTTTCTTGAAGTTTGGAAGCTTATTTTGTTTTATAACAATGCCTAAGGCTAAAAAAAAATTAATACAGCTCGGAAAAGGCATTGGGGCTTATTTTAGCTTGAAAAGCAGCAGTTTATCTATATTTTATATATTTTGAGGTTATTATGGGAGTAAAAATTCTACATTTTGTTATATAGACTGATTCTAAAAAAAAGTGGAAAATACTTGCTTCGTAAATGTTTTGTGGCCATCAAAATGCTTCAGTTTTATTCTATGGGTCAAACAGTAAAGCAAAGCACTTCAAAGGCATTTGGCACAATTTGGCACATTTAGGGATTATTGAAAATGTTTTCTGAAAATGTTGTAGTTACAGGTCTGACATTTTCTGCATTTGTTGTTGACATGATGTAGAACAAATGTAATGCAATGAAACCTGCCTTTTCTCAAGCTTGTCTTAATTACTGCTGTCATTTTCGAGAATAGAAAACAATAAGAAGTTGTGCTGAGAAAATCTGACTTTTGTACAGGAAAATAAAGCATTTATTTTAAACAATGTCTCCAAAATGTATGCTTTGAGACCAATAATATGTCATGTTTTTTTATAACTCCACTGAAGAAACTTTTAAACAACATGCAAATATTTTATTAATTTGGAATATGAACCATTTGCTCAAAACAAAAAAAGTATTCAACGCTCCTTATTTCTTGCCTAATAAATGTGAACCTGCTTTTTATTTAACAGCTATATTTAATCAAAAACACATATCCAAGGATCTACAACAGATTACAAAGTGACATTGTGTTTTATACTCTCAACAGATGCAAATAAATACTGTCGGCCAATGAGCCTTAACACCTAAACAATTCCAGACCCCTCCTTTCCTCCATGGTTACAAACAGAGTATTGTTCTGACAGAACAATTGATCAGTTCATGAAGACAGAATGCTCCATCAGAATGACAAGGCAGGATGGTCTCCTGACTGAATCATGAGACAGAAGTGGAGCATTCCCTTGCACAAATGTTTCATAAGCAAACATTAATTTTATAATCATCATTGAATAAACCTAACAGTAATTTAAGACCAAGAGTCTGAGGGGAAAGATTAATGAGCTCTTGGCTTTTGAGCCTTGAAAAATACCTGAGGACTGAGATGTATTGATGGCAATTTAGAAGCCACGTGAACCAATGAAACAACATGATACAATACGGCAAAACCCTACACCATGCTCCATACATTTCAGACAGTTTTGAATGGCAATATCTGCTGGATGCTACTTTTGAATGGGTATCCTAAGCTTGGTCTGTGTTCTACACACCCAATTTTCATTTATATATTCAGAAACATGTAATCTGGCCTTGCAGTTCCTAAATTATTTGCTTTTCCATTTGGGTATGCAAAATAGACGAAAATTTCCCAAAATGTGGTGAATGTTAATGGACAGATCGCGAACTGCATATACAATACTAAAAAATCCGGCTGACGTAAAACATTGTCAAGTACTAAATTACCGTTACTTAAACTAACAAAATTTTCTCTCCAAGACATATTGGTACTTCAGATTATTTGTTACGTGAACCCAAATTGTTTTAAAAATGTTATCACCATTTATTTCTAACAGCTGAATATCATTATTTACCAGCTGATGACAGTTATTTTTAGATACTGTAACTCAGTGGTTTTCAAATATATTTATGCCTCCAAAAACGTGTTGTGCTGAGAAAATCCAATGTCTGCATTAATTAATGGATGAATTTGTTTGTTCCAAAACAATATTGTTGATAAAGATTATATAAAGAAATTATACATAAAAATAAATTCCTGTTCTTCTAAGACTTTAATATGATAAACACCTGATGCATAAAAGCTAATGAACCCTCTCTGAGCTGAATACCAGAATTCTATAATTATACCTCAAAGTAGTTAGTTCTTGATCTAATGCT